CTGTGACACAGTTTTAAACCAAGGCTTTATTTATTTTCATATTCTAATGGCACCGTTCACCATCACCGATCAGTTATCCTCAGTCTCTACCAGTCCTCTCCCATCCCTTACCCAAACAATTGAGCTCCATATAGTATACACACCTAATTAACCCAGAAACACCATCTACAGATAGGCACATAGATTAGCCACGTATATACATAGACACTCATTTACATTTGGTCAGTCCTCATATATTCTGGAGAGAGCCTGGTCAGACAAGGTTGGCTTTCCCCGGATGGTACTGGACTGCAAAGTCATATGGCTGTGGTGACAGGTACCACCCAGCGAGACATGTGTTGGAATCCTTCATCAGCCACTGCAGAGCCCAATGATCCGTCTCATGGGTAAAGTGACGTCCCAGCAAGTAGTACCACATGACAAACTTCATGGACAAGAACTCTTTCTCCGCAGTAGAGTACCTTGTCTCTTGGTCCAAGAGCTTACGACTTAGGGACACGAGGGTATGTCTCCATCCGTCTCCCAAAGTCAAACTGCTCAAACCTAGCCATGAGACATCTGTCTGACATCTAAGAAGAAACACAGGTTGTGAAAAGTCAGGGCTGTGGAGAACAGACTGACTTGTGTGTCCCCTTAAAGTCTTTGAAGTCCCGGTCACATTCCTCATTTCATCTGACTGTCTTTAGGGCTGAGGCCTTCATGAGGTCCGTGAGTATGGCTCCTTCTCATTAAAGTGGGGGATGAATTTGCTGTACCACCCCACAAGCCCCATAAAAGCACAAATAATCTTATTGGTGGTGGGCACAGGATATGAATGCATGGCATTCAACTTTCCTAATTGAGGCTTGACCGCCCCTTGTCCAACCACGTGGCCCAAGTATTCCACCTTCTTATAAGCAAAGGAACACTTTAGTGAGTTGATAGTTCGACCTGCAGTCCTGGCTTGGTGGAAGATCTGTTGGTGAGAAACATGTTCTTCCCACGTCTAGCTAAAGACATAATCCAAGTAGGCCGCTGAAAACAGAAATATTCCTTTAATACAGAGGTCTTCAACCTCGCACATTTTTGGTTGAGAAGACCATTTTTTCCACAAATTGGAATGTCTTCAATCAGAATCAGAATTATCATGTCAAGCTCGAACAGGACCTAAACGCAGACTGGATTGGTGGTGAGAATAAAGAATTGTTCATTCACAAAAGATCCAAAAATAATGAAAAAAACACCAGTAGTCCGAGACGTTCTGTTTTCTGGGGCTTGGTGAGGCAGCAGGGTGGACGACGGTAGTCTCAGGCAAAGTCCTGGCACATAACGATCCGGCAGGGACTGGCTCTCCAGACGGCTCTTAAATACCCCCCTGATGGGGAACTGGAGCCAGGTGCGTAATTGGCAGCAGCTGAGCGTCCTCAAGGTCCACGGCCCGTTGTCATGACTCCTGGAAAAACATCAACAGACTGCCGCGCACACCAACAACTTGATCACGCCGTGGCTGTCGTGACAAGAATTGTATTTATTGTCTTTAAATACATGAATCCAACATATTGTACGAACGGATGAATTGATGGAGAAGACGTTCTCTTTAACCTGTTTTTGTCGAAGACGACCTAGAGAGTCACGTCTTTGTTTGTGGAAGTCGTTGGTTTGTTTATTTATTTATCAGAGACTTTATTGCCTCGTGCATCACCACTGTTGCTTTTCATCGCGGTCAAATTTGTCCCGTATTTTCCTCCACAACTTTGTGCACCCCTCGACCGGCAAACCGACGTTTGCATAGATTTTCCTCCATGAATCAGAGGCCATCCGCACGTCCTTATAGTCCGCCAATGACGGGTTGTAGAAGTGGTCATATTTATGCATTTCTTCCGACAAAAGCTCTTCAATCTGATCCGTTCTCTCGTAAAAAATGCGTCGCTTTCGACGCAAGCCTAGAAAAACGGGTCGACGCAGCAAGCACGCAAGGAGGTGTGAAAAGGCACGCAAGGGACACTGTTAGGATCTCCGATCCGCCCCGAGTCGGTTGATGAGAAGGATCCAGCACGTTGATCAATTAAAGTCAAAAGTTAACATTTATTTAGAAGAGAAAAAGATTACATGAGCAATTCTCCGCAGATATCTGTCTCTAACTATTGCTTGCAAGCAGGAGGTCCAACACACCAGCACGTATTCCAGCGTTCTGTGTAATGGCGTCTCCGAGCAGTAAAAGAGTTTTTATACACTTGAAGACAGTTCATAGTGCAGATCTACCAACTCTCACGGTTTCGCCGTGTGACACACGCTTTTGCATGTTTTCACACGCACTCACGCCACACAACCAATTTCTCACGGCAAAAAAAGAAATTCGGATTTTGGGCCGAAGCGCGTTCGTTCCTTTTCAAACTCCCCGACGATAGACGGCGCTAAGGAGCGCATCTGTAAACCCATTCGCTGCATAGACATCCTGTTTACCCCAAAGAGTCCCGGAGTTAGCAACGGAAGAAGGTTTTCAAACAGACACAACCGCGGGAGAAACTCAGGAGGAGCAAAGACTAAGGTACGTTAATGACATGTGGTTCAATTAAGTACTCACTCTCTTAAACTTTAAATCTTGAAATAACTGATTAGTTGTGTTTGTGTGATTTTGAGTGGTGAATGTAAACTGTCACAACAAGCAGCAGGAGAGCACCTTGTTAACCTCTTGGTGTACTGCATGCTCAAAACATCATAGCATTGTTTATTAAGCCTTAATAAACAATGCTTGATAAAAAATGACTAACCAGCTTCTGATCTCCTTCTTAATACCTCATCTTTTGTTATTTTATTTATGTGTATTTATATTATGTGTATCCATTGTTTTGCTTTGAAGGGCTACTGTTTAAGCACTTTATTTGTTGCACTTTTTTGTTTGATAATAAAAAATATTTTTCCCTAACTAAACTTGTCATTTTTTGCTGAACATAAATAATTAAGTGCTCTTAAGAATACAATTATTAACAATATATGTGAGGTTTCAGTTAAGAGTTAGTTGAACACCATTGTAATCAAAACAACCTAAATTGGTCAAATCTTAAACACAGGTCTATTAATTAGGCTATATTGTGGTACATAGACAGTCATTGAGGCACAGCAATAGTTTTCTGGTTGAATGTTCAGCTCAAGTCTAGAAGGCCCCACAAGTCATGAGCAGATGAACATGAATCAGAATAAGTTCAGGCATACGACCCAAAAATCCACTAGAATGCATGAAATAACATCTACTTAAACCAGAATGTCCTTGGGGTGGACCATCAGCTACGTCTCTGCTTCTCAGAATGTAACCAATGTTGTCCATCTCCAGCAGGCCGCCCCTCTCAACGACGTTGGGCCCCACAAACCACCAGAATGCAGGGTACAACACGGGTACTACGCCAAATGAATTCACACCAACGTGTGTGGCTGCGTGCGTGACAAAATCTTGGTCACCCCCGACAAAATCTCACTCCAAGGTTTTTTGAAAAGTTGGCAGCTCTGCATAGTGCCAGTTACGAGAAGCCCCAAATCAAGTTGAGATAAGAACACAGGTGAACCTGAGGGTAACACACAATGCTCCACTGATCGAAGGTCTGTGAGAACAAGTTAACCCCCTTCCCCAAACACAGCTGGTGGTCAACCACTGAGACCTGGATTTTAGCACAAGACAATTGTTTACAGAATGTTTTTACCACTACATGCGTCTCACAACACGCAAGGGGGTCTTGCGTCTGCGTTTCCTTGCGACGCTCTGAAAACGCAGAAGCATAAACTAGGCTTAAGAAGCAGTTTAGCCAATGAGTGACATCATTTCAGAGTCCTAAAATACATTCAGATTTGGGCTCGCCCTACGCCGCGCTCTTTAACAACATAACAAGAGCGACTACGGGCAGTGTCCTTCCAAACATTCTCTCCTCAAAGACAAGTTTGATAAAAGAACTTTGCCGGAGAAACTAGAGGTAAAACAGCTGGACCGAGATCAGTCTGACCTCACAGTCAGACAACGGACCGGCGTGAAAGGGAAGCATATGACGCTTCTGTAGAGATGTTACACCGGCAGGTTTAGCTAGCTAGTTAGCTGGCTACGTGCTAATGCCTAGCTTCCCATGCTCAGTTTTAAAAATGAACGGGGACAGAATCCAGCATGGACAGATATGTGAGTCAGGGACATGAAGCTCACTTGTATACTCTAGAGAACACCGAACACCCACAGATAACGCCACTACCGTAATCTCCATTTTTTACGCGCACCGTGAAATAACGTGCGTTGAGTTGGTCCTCAACACACTGATTGGGTGTTTCCCCAACAAACTAACATTAGGTTCATATGGTTATCCCAATACATATGTTCTATTAGGTTTCATATGAATATATTATATGTATCCTTTATTATAATATACATATACAATATAAATATGAATATAATATAATAAATATAATAGTTACAATATGATAGTTATATCATATACTGAATATATATACATACATATATACATATTCATTGATTTACTGAATTGTATGAATAACATGTCCGTGTTATGGAACTGTTGGAATAAATCCATCAGCCGCCACTGACCTATATTAGTCATGTATATTCTTGTATCTCGTAGCAGAAATTCCCTTAATCTACAGAAGCGTCCAGGAACACACCGCCTAAGACACGTAGCTGTGTGATTGGTCGGTGCTCTGTGAGTTTGGAACCCGATTGGTTGACCAGGCCGGTGTCTAACTGAACGTGGCTCCATACTAGCTGGGCACGTTGAGACAGCAGCTTCCTTGACAAGCGCGTTAAGTAGGCGCCGGAAAAGTCCCCGGGCCTTCAACATAAAATAAATGAGCCGCCGTATGATAACGTAGTGCAGGAATACGACTTTAGCTAATCATTTTTCACTTACTGTAACTTCTCTTCTTCGTGTTGAGTGGGATCTCCGTGAGTCTCTTGAGTGTGTTAGAATAGTGTAATACTCAAGAATTGCAAAATATTATTCAATGAGCATTTTACTTTGAAAGTCAAGACCGGAATGTAGAAACTAGTAGGGTAGTGTGAATGAACCTGTCCGTGAGATGTGGGGAGATAATAAACATGTACAGAAAAAAAGTAATTGACAGCTCATCATTTTAACTTCATCACATCGCTGAACCTCCGCTGCCAGCTCGCGCTCCTCCATAGGTAAGAAATGCTGCCTGCTAGCGGAGCAGCTAGCCCAAAGCCTCCATATGTAACGTTACAGGGGGTATGCTACTACGAAATATAGCAATTCTATGTGGTCTTGCGCAATGGACAACTCATAAATTAGTGCAATAGCTTTTACTTGTTTGTCTTGAGTCACCCCAGATTAAGGCAGGTACCCAATATACTAAACACGACGCGTCGGAACCAAATTAAACCAACGTTGCTTATATGCGGTTCACCTGGAACTCTCGTATGACTAAAGTACACAGCTACTCCTTCATTGTCTCTTTGTACACTTATTTGCTTTGACATCACTTCAAACATATGTTCCGATATGTGAACACAACACATACACCTTCCAGGCCAAGCGGTAGGCGACCAGTGCCGTTATTACGTCCCTACCGGTTTTTGAACCCACTGGTTTGCCGAGGCATGGGTCCTTATGTTTACTTAACAGCAGCAGCTGTTTTCTGCCTCAGTCTCCTGATTCGTCACACATTCACAAACGTATTGCTGAAAATCTTCCAAATGCATCACATAGCCGTTGCATGATTTATTGTATAAGTATGAAGAAATATATTAAAGAAAATATATTTATTGAAACATCGTAACAACCTGGATTCGAACCCTGCCACCAAACTTTTGGTTTGGTTAGATTAGTTCATTAAGCTGCACCAAATCCGTGTGGAGGAAACGTTTTGGACTAGAGTGATCTAAAACAACTGGTTACTTTTCTGTGTCAACCAGGCAGCTACAACTCAGTTGTCAGCGCATCTGAATCAGGACTTTCTTAAATTTTGCTACAGAGAGTTCGGACCAAATTATCTCAAATGAATCCGGACTTTGAAATCGCTTTTATTAAAGTCGTCACAATGGGATGTGATGTGCTACTTCTATGTGGGCGATCGTTGGTCAGTGTGGACGACGGTTAACATCCTAATGTGTTCCTAGGTTATCCATATGGCTTCCTGGATTATTCAGATAACTGTGATGGTGCTGTCTGTCTTCACCAGCAGCAGCCAGGGGAAGAGGGACAAGCAGCTCTACTGCTCTGGTAAGTCACCAGTTATAGAGGACAGAAAATGTATTTATCATCTGGTGATTTTGAAGTACGAAAACAGAGGGTTAGCGATACTGAGGTCCGATAAGGCAGAATCCCTTTGGATAGGAGTCCAGACACTGGTGGTGGTGAAGGAAGATCCTGCAGTCCACTGGTGAATGAGGAGCATGACTGCTGCTGACTGAAGTTAGACAACAAAAATGTGATTGGCTTTGGGAAACTGGGTTGGTAACAGGGTTTGTTAATTTGAAGTGAATGTCTTCAATTAGTTTATTGCAGGGAAAGAGATCGAATGAGCGAATATGAACAAAAAGGACTGTGTTTGACCCTCCATTTATTAATAATCATTACAAATTCAAAAACATCCAGCAGATAATTTCAACTTTTATCTAGTATTACATGTATCATACAGTACAACACATTGTCAGAAACTCATTCAGCTCATCACACTAGTGCAAAGTCATGTAGTTACCGGGGATGACCTTCTGAATAACTTAACATCTTACCTTATGCACTGATGTTCACTATGAGCTATATTGTCTTGTTGCCATCGCTGAGGTTGCCCTGTGTTTCCCAGCCTGCAAGGCCATTGTGGATGAACTGAACTACTCAATCAGTCAGGTGGACCCAAAGAAAACCATCAACGTGGGCGGCTTTAGACTCAACCCGGATGGAACCATGAAAGACAAAAAGGTACGATACATTGATGAGTGGGTGAAGATACCACTCTGTGTCCTCACACTCAGTTAAATGTGCAGATTGAAGTAAATGCCAATGCACACTTAGCTAATATCTGTTCATAGCAGGTCAGAGGCACGTCAACAGGATCCCGAAGGAAAGAACATATACAGATGGGAAATATTGGCATACAGAAAATGCACACATACCAAAAGTTGCAGCGGGCGAAATAATGCATCATGCTGTACAGATTCGATTTGACTGATTTTGACTGTGGTGGCGCAGTTGACAGACCTGCTGAGGGGTAAGGCAAAGTATATTTGGTCCGCTGGTTGTCAAAGGACTTTCTGTAATTCTCACAACAGCAACGTTTTAAACCGCAGGTTGATGCCAGTCACATGGGTGCACATGGGGTGCTGATGCAGGAGGATCAGTTGGGTCTTGTCAGGCCTGTGTGTTCGGGAGCAGTTAGGGATTAGCTGTCCTGCTCAGGGACACTTCAACACGGGACATGGAGCAGCCAGGGATCGAACGGCCAACCCTGCGGTTCCCGGCACACCGTCTCTACTCCATGCACAACTGTCCATAGTGTTTGTTTTCTAACATCTATTCCTAAACAGTATTCCTTGACCTCTGTGGAAAAGGTCACAGGGTCAAGGAAAGATGGTTAGGAGAATTCATGAGGAGTTAGTAAAAGGCAACTGCGCTGTTTAGGGAATTTACTTCCACTAAGCTACATAGTTATGGTGCGACGGGAGACGTGTGTTAGTGACGTCAGTCTGCAGTGGCAAAACTACCATTTCTCCAAAGATGGACTATCAAAGAAGTAGGGCTGTGTGCGGTAAGACTTCTGTACAGTATGTCTCACGTACCCTTCATACCGGTGTTATGCCATAAAAACTGAGGTTGCTCTTTATTTATTGTTACACGTCATGGACGTGCACCCAGCGGTCTGAGCTACTTGTTTTACGTGTTTTGAGATCGAGTCATGGTTCTAACTTTATACCGACGATGAATAACCCAAAACAAACACCCTTTAACCGTGTAAAACACCACGACACAACAGCTTGTGCCACATAAACAATTTGTAACACTAATTGTACATTTATAAAAATCACCCCACCGAGCTGCATGCTGGGTACAACTGACAACAAGAAGTAACGTGAAAGAGAAAACAAGAGGAACAACAAGAGACCAGAGATGCACCAACACAACTTGGTTGGAATTGGGTTTAATTCCAAAAAGCTGTGTCTCTTTAGAGTTCTTTTTTTTTGTCTGTCGAGCCACTGGTATTTCCTCTGGTGGCAACGCTAGCAGCCACGACGAGCTAACACGCTAACTCGCCGGCCAGTTGCGAGCGAGTTGGCCAGCCAGCGGTGAACAGCTGTTCAAGTAGCCAGCGGCCCTTTTCGGGGTCAATGTGAATGTGTTTACTTGAAAAAACAATACAGTCACATACTGGGACACCGTGAGAATCTTTCTAAATACATGTGATATGGGTTTTTGGCCACACCGCACAGCCCTACGAAGGAGCATCTTCGATGCCTTCATGTGTTGTTACAGTGGTGAGTCATGCAGACGACATAAACAACCAGGTTCATAGTATTACTTTATTAACAAGGTTGTAACATAAGTTGCGTTATGCTAACGGTTACTTACGTTATCTGCGATCGTTATTTCTCGCAAACGGCCGAATATTTATATTTATGAATTATCTACTTTCCTTTTGTAAATGCTAAACTATGCTAAATGAGCTAAGTAAGAAATCATTGAGGCTCCTTTCCTTTAGCATTAGATAATTTTAAAAGCTCTTGGCGGCTACCGGTACTTACACTAATTCTGCATCATTTCACTCAGTTAGGAACCTTTCTAAGCAAGTTTGAGAATTTGATTCCAGCCAGACACTCAAGAAATTGAAGCAGAGTTTAATTTGACTGTCATGTTGTATCCACAGGTGAGAAAAGTACACAAGCAGGATGTATATTTGCTTGCATTTGCGATGCCATTTTTTGAAGACTGTGCGTGCTAGTGCCACTTACCTGCCCTTGATGGATAGAAACAGTAGTGTATTGGGCTGTATATGTTTACGTTGTGCGTTCACAATTAATGAAAAGAAGCAAGTTAAATCAGCGCAAGAAAGACATTTGGGAGATGAAGCGGACATTCATTTGACCGTCTTGTTGTATTCACAGCATAATAAACTGGAATGCTGAATGGGGACTGACAGCCATTTGTTTGTAATACAAATCATATAACAATTGCAATATCAGTCAAAATAATTGCAATTGGGTACTTTTCATACTTGTTGAGCCCTATTATGAACACACTGACTTGTTGGTTGTACTGTAATCAGCAATGGGAGGTGTCGCTGCAGTACTTTTCTCCTCCTAGTCCATTGTTCTGTGTCTGTGTGTGACGCTGTTTGAGCAGTGAGACGATGGGTCTGAGAGGTAGCGAGATCCTCCTTGTGGCACTGGCATGCAATGGCAAGTCTGTGACGGTTGTCGGTAAGTTATGCAAATATACCCAGAGTTGAATATATTTCAGGAAATGTATAGTTCTTCAAATAGATGATATTGTTTCGTATGATACTTAACAAATTGACCAATTAATGTTCTGACAAGTCCTGTAAAATAAAGTCTGTTTTATCTATAGTCTATTACGAATATGTATTAAGACAATTAACAGGGAATCTGACACAGTGTTGAATATTTAAAGCCAATGTGCTGTTAAAATCCACGACAAGGTGTGGCAGTGGTGACAAAGTGTGAATGTAAGCCAGACCAATGTGGACCAGTATAAACACTGGGAATTGACTCCTCCTAAGTGTAACTTGCAGAGGGTGAGGTTTATGTGGCAGTATACACAATTTTTTTACTTGGGTTGTGTAAATGACAGCAGGACTCCACTCATTGTATCTATAGGGACAAAAGTATCTGACAGAGCAGCCCCGATGGGGTTTGGGACTATTGTTAATCTCCATAATTGTTACGGCCTGCCTATCGTGCCTAGGGGTCCACAGCCAGAACACAAAAATGTTGGAAAAAGGGTAGGCTTGGCAGAGATAGATAAGGCGTGCGCAACGTTTTCACAAAAGTAAATACAATTTATTAACGACTTATTTATCACAAAAGACAACTGAACGGAAGCAAAAGCTTCAGGGTCTCAAGGCCAAAACAATAAACAAAACCACCCCCCTAGCTAGACTACAAAGGTGTTCTGGCCGTGGGAAAAAGAAAAACAATACTGACCTCCCTCTCTATCCACAAAACAGGAAAGAATTGTAACAGAAATGGCAAAGAACCCTTACACGCTTCCCACACAAAATGGTGGTCTGCACGCAGACACTGACAGTCTGCTCGTTGTCAGGACGAGGAGAAGAGAGACCCCAGAACACTGAGTCGGGAAGCCTTTATGTGGCCCATGTCTCTCAGGTGGTGCTGCTCCAGGTAAAATCACCTGAGAGAATTGCCCCCGCCCTCTTCTCAGGAGGGGGCGGAGTCACGTCACGGGATGTAACAAAAATGGATATTGCCTTTATGTCTTTAAGCAGTTGTCTTAATGTGGATTAATTTAGATATTAATGCTAATTACTCTTCTTGTTCCCCTTGTGGGTCCTGCTTGGATTCCATTTAATTCGCCCCAAGTGTGCGCCTGTGCCTGTGTCCTTTAAAAAAAACAATTAGACAATTAGACATGCAGAAGTTATGCACTCTCCGTGTAATATATTGAAATGGACACATGCAGGATATCAAGTTATAAACAACAACTTGATACCTCCTATAGAGCTTTGATTTTGAACCTCAACAGATGCACAAGGATGCATATTTCTGTTTTTGTCATGTTATATCAAAAGTATGTGGATGTGTAAACTGAACATCCGTGTTGCTATGGTTTTTGTCCAGCTTAAAATAACTGATCAGCATTCTGGGGAAATCAGTTGGAGTAGTTGTCATGCCGTACTCACCAGGCCAGAATAGCGTGGTTCTTCCAGAGAGGAGCTCCTCCTCTGCCCTTAGCTGACACTAACCTCCACCTGTTGCATTGTTTGGTCAATCAAATGTTACTGAGCCCCAGAAGAAGCCAAACCTTGATCCCATGCCCTCTTGGCTCCCTCCTTTTCAGAAGCTTTTGACCTAATGTGAATCGGAGAGGGAGGGATGTCACAGCTTAGATGCCATCAGTGAGGAGGATTTGCAGGTTTTAAGTCTCTGCTCTTTGGCCTCCTCCCAGTAGGACTTCCTGGGGGCATGGGGTGGCTCTGTGGCACAAAAGTTTAACCTGCCTCCTGCAACAATGACACATTTAAGGCTTCCAAAGACATTGAACTTAGTTGGAGCAGTGAGCTGATCTCATGGTGTCCGGTGTGAAGTCATGCTTTGACAATGAGAGGATGCAAAATGTCCAGCAGACACAGTCACAGGTCCTTGATATTTTCTATGAGAGAGAGAGAGATGGGTAACATGTCACTGACATGCACAAAATATTCCGTTATTTGCTCTTATTCTGAAAAGCACAAACAATGTGCTTAGGAGCATTCTTTGAACATGTCTTAAGTAATATCAATATGCCCCACATGTCTTATGGTAAAGGGATGCATTCAGAATGAGTCCTAGAGACCTGCATCAAGTTCATTCCACGACAGATACTACAACAACTAGATTAAAGTAAAGAATGTTAATGTGTCTTTCATAGTCAGAACAATAGTGTGATAATAGATCGACTGGTCAATCGCCAAGACCGTGCCAGTGGGTCGACTGCGGGAGCTAAGGGGAAACTTTTTAGTGCTAATTAGCATCCTTGCTAACACATTTCATTTTTATTCAAAAGCAACCCTGGCTAACTCTAATCAGTGCAAGTCATCCAAGTAACGTAATAGCCAAGAATGTCTTGAATGGTTGTGATGGTTCCCTTGCTACTGACAGATGGGAGGTTCTTTTTTTTATTTTTATATTGATCTGTTTTGCGTTTACGGTACGCAGCGTTGTTGTACTTATTGAACATAGCGAACACAGCTAGTAAACACATAGCTTGTGTAGCACTGTAGACTGCATGTGTGGTGTAGGTAGACAAATACAGGTGAGTAGTGTTTGGTGCAGAGTTCCAGTAAAAAAACAACAACAGCTGTTGTCGTTCTCTTAAATTCCTGTCTTTGAGCAGATTAAACAGGTTCAATGTGACGTTGGGTGTACTTTTTGAACTTTATGTTTATCTCCTCCTTCCACTATTATTATTTTTCTCTTGACAGAGCCAGGCTGGCACTTTCCCCCTGCTTCAGGTGCTCATGCTAAGCTACGCTATCTATGTCCTGACTCTAGATGGATGTTGATCTTGTAAATGATCTTGTGAGGGAAAAAAAACAGCCTTTTGAAAAGGATGCCCTATGACTTCTAAGCACTGTGCCTGGCGTCAGCTGCTCTCCATCCATTCACATTCAGACATGACCAGCTCTAGGCTATGACTTCATGCTATGGGATGCATGTCATTTACAGCTAATTACAAAGGGCTTCACTATTTCTCTCTTGCTATTACGCTGTGATATTGTTATCATCAACCATAATCGTGAACTTTCCTATTCATTAATATGTGCAGTAAATGGCAAAATGGTCCAAATTACATTTCAGCTTCTCCTTCTACTCACCGCTTTGATGGCAATATCATTATTAATATTAATATATGGGTCTTTATTGGTCCATAACACAAGGACAATGAAATTGAAAGGGCCCTATCCACAGCGGTGCAATAATGGCTCCCTATCCAATGGGAATTGAATGGACGATAGCATCCCTGAGAAGCCTATTCTCTGGCCCGACGTGTCTTCCCTCCCTCCCCCCCAGCCGCCCCCCCTCCACACCACCACCGCCCCCCAGCCCCATTCTTCAAACAACACTGTGACTGACAGCTCCCTTTCACAAGACTCCGACTGGCAAGGAAGGGGTTTAATTCCAAACCATTTTGTAGCATGGCATGATAAAGACTCAAGCACGGGCTGAGATGGACCGACGTGCTTTTATTGTCGGGCAGGGGGGAGTTGCCTTTTTATGGGTTTTGGAAATTGAAGATTTAGTTTGAGTTTAAATTTCAAACTAAGTTATATCAAATTCCTAAATTTGATAAGGGAAAGCATGATTGAGCTGTAATTACGTCATATCCTTCTTTAGTTTTACCAGTTCTGAGAATAGGAATATTTGCTTGTAAACAAGAGGACACTTTTACCTGTAAATTACACTCGCTTAATAATGTATCAATAACAATTTATCCAAATATATCCTCATGCAAATAGACATTTTCCATTTGAAAACACATAAATCTTAATAAATCAATTTGACTCATTATTTTGAATGCACAAGCTTCACTTCACTAGAGGAGTCGGCAACTATATATATGAGAGAGATATCTAGGTATATCCTTATAAATGTATTTTGACAAAATACAAATAATAAATGAAAGCAATAATAACAAGTTAGAGAGGAATAACATCATAGCATCTCCATGACAAATAAGCAAACATAAGGCATTGGATAGAAAGTCTCAATGAGCCAGTAAGCAGACCTTATTGTGTCTCATGTTGATCTATCCACTGAATAGAATCCCCAACAGCCCTGATCTGGGCTTAAATGCATGAGTAACTTTTTGTTGTGTTGGTTTCCATTCCTTAAAAAGCGACTCGTTGCTTCTCTCTTTCTCTGTGGACTGAAAAAAAAGATCTATATTAATACAAAACATGTTATACATTTTTTTATAATAAAAAAAAGATTTTATTGATCGACAAATGAATATATGAAAACAATTAACTCCACTAAATATGTTCCAAAAATATGCTAGACACGACATAAACACCAATTTTAGCCACTCAGAGAAGGTGTCAAAGTCCTGACAAGCAGATTTTGATTGACAGGTGAACCTCATCGTCATTGGCCTGCCTGACCTACATCCCTCGGTGCTCGCCCTCCACCCTTTGGCCCTGTGCTGTAACACATTCTGTTGACCAGCCAACTTCCTTCCTCCTCAGCACAACAGTATTGTCAAGCTCAAGGGATCTATTGCTGAATGAACCTAAAGTTAAGGAGGAGGGATCAGACAATCACTTTTAGTCGGAAGGAGCCATTTGTTGAGCGGAGGAAGAGGCAGGAAACCGTAGAAATCAAAACAGATGGCAGAGAGACCCTTTGTTGTGTGTGTGTGTGCTTGTGTGTGTGTGTGTGTGTGTGTGTGTGTGTGTGTGCGCACACACAAGAGTGATCAGTTGGCTTGGCTCGGAAGGGAACGCAGTTGATTCTGTAAAGAGACAAAGGGTTCAGAGAATAATAAATCTGCACTGTTACAAAATCCAGTTTAAAAACCCTCTCCTCTTCCTCACTGTTCCTTACCCCCACAACGATCCCCCGAGGCCACCCTGCCACCTTTGACCAAAGAAGACTAGGAAGATTTCCTCCTTTTGATCATTAGAGGATGGAAGGGATGATCGGGCCAAGATAAAGCAGCAGAGGCCGTGCAGGCCTGACAAAATAAGCTTTTTATCATGCACTTGGCTTCTGTGGAGGCCTCCTGCTTGTACCATTGTACCCCATCCCCCCCATTTTGTTTTTCTCAGCCTTGGAGGTGTAAAGAGCAACGCCCCCTCCTCCCCCATTGCCCCCGCATCCCCTGGTCGTCACCCCTGTCACCCAATCTCCTTGCGGGCATGGTGGGAGCAGGGTGCTGCACCTGTCTTAGCCCCGTCTAGACACCACTGCCTCACTGTTTTGTCCTGAATGGAAGCGGAGGAAGAGGACGGTGCAGTTTTTAAGGAGAGGTGAGGAGGGTGTGCGTTCAGGTTAAAAGTCAGAGTTGGAGGGTAAGGTTTGTGAGTGAGGATGAAAAAAACCCAGCGGAAACAAGAGGTCACCCTGCTGACCCGCAAAGAGCCCTGTGGTGTAACACAGCCGACACCCGGGCAACGCGGCCTCTGAGGCTTGTTCCTTTCCCACCATGAGCGTACCTATTGCGTTATTTGGTTGCCATGGCTGTGTCATGTGTGCCGTCTGAAATGTGCAAGTATGTATTTAAAAAGAAATAGATTCTTTGTTTTATTTCTTTACAATATCTCTGGCTTTGTCTGTTTGTGCTTACCCAACATTCATAGACCTGCTTGTTTGGGTGAATGAGGGGTCATGTTCTCTCTCTCTCTCTGGGTGGTGTGGCCAGGTACCTCTGGCTCGCTCTGAGACTCACCTCAGCGAGCTCCTGGACGGGGTCTGCGACAGCATGAGCGACTACGCCCTCCATGTGGACCCGGACACACAGCTCAAACAGTTCATGAGGTTTGCTCCCCGGAGCGGCGGGGCCACCGGGGACTTCCCCGACTTCAAGAATTTCCAGTTTGACGGACCAGAGGCCTCCAACGCCCTGAAGTTCGCAGTGAGTGCAAGGGAGCGTAATTAAAGTTTGTCTGTAGTAGAAGGGACACATGTGGGTTGAAGATGTTGGGCTTCACCATATTGCTACTTTACTGCGTCCTTTATGAATTTTTAGTTAACTGCTTGATACATTTTAATAGTTCTTTACTAAATTGGGTTTCTACATAAACATTAAAGGAATGTTTAAAACCCTCAATAAGTATTGGATATGTGACACTTTGCACTACATGTAAATGTATGTATATAATATTTACAAGTGACACAATTTTTTGGAGTCTTTACTGAGAATAGTTACAGTATCTTACTTGTTTCAGCATTGTCCATAGAGCTGTCCTCACACAACGCACTCATCACTACATTTCACGTTTTTTACGTATATCATCTTTCAATCCGTAATGCAGATTAGGTCAGGTTTGAGCTTGCCTATTGTGTCACTTGGTTCAGGTTCAAATGTTACCGTGTAATCTAAAAAAGGAATGACTAGTTAGTGGTATAGTGCCACATTATGCCATGTAGTGTCATGTGACTGATGCATTGTTGGAGTGTTTCATGAATGGGACTTGAATATGGATTAATAGGCCACAGTGAGAGAGATACATTAACTGATCACATTGTGAAGGGCCTGATTACATCTTTTGAGACATTTCTGATTAAATGAAGTTAATAGAAGAAAGCAATTGTATTTCTCTTGACTTTCTCAATGTGACATCTGTTACAGTGTAATATATGGAAAACATGCCCTGTTTATTTTCAAACATGTTGTGAATGAATCAGATGTATAAATTCCTGTGTGATCAGTGCATTTACACGCTAGCAGTCAGGTTACTGCTTTTGTTAGCAGGTACGAAGAACCAAATTCTTCCGGGCTACCTGCTTGAATGTGAATGGAGTAAACAAGTATCAGGTAGTCAGTGGAAGTGAATCTGAGTTGGGACGGTTGACTCGTCTAAATGGCTGAACAGTTGGGCTGGCGGAGAGGAAACGGTCTGTGGTGTGTATGCATGGTCGAGCCTCGGGCCAAGTCTTCTCTCTGCGCTTGTTTTTCTGTCAGTGCGAAAGCGTCGTGGAGGAGCTGGAGGATGATATCATCTCTCTGTTCAGCCAGGACGTGGAGCATGTGCACCAGGAGCTATGCAACAGAGTGTCAGGTACGAAGCTGCTATTGTGCCCACGTTCTCTACCACATACATCTAAATCAGTCAGAGACACGCAGACCTGGTAGTATTCATAACATTGATACATTGGCTCATATTCCTATTCCTGTGCTTGTGGTTTCTCCAGAGCTGAATGTATCTCCATTTGCTAAGAAATTGGGAGATGGTTTTTAAAATGTTGTGGGAAAATAGTTTTCCCTGGTGGTTTAGGCTTCTACAGCCTTATGTAACAACACAGAGGAAAGAGGGGCCATTTTGTTAGAATGTGACAAGACAGAATGATACTTAGACGAGACGTGTTACACAATAGAATCTATTTATTAATACCATTAACTTCAACACCACTGTTCATCTTTTTGTCTCTTGTCTATGATTTCAGGCTACTGTAAAGAAAGCCGCCGCAGCAACAAGGAGTTGTAGCGCCGTGGGGTTTTATTGGTGGAGGTTGGGACCCGTTTTGTAACAGACAACATAAAAAAGAGCCCTTTATTAAATCATTTTTACACAAATTGTTAATCTTTTTAAATAAATAAAAGAATAAATCTTTTTTGTTTGTGTTGTCATTGGACTCAGACCAGCGTATTGTGTTGTCAGCTGCTGCCTCTTGTTGGTTTGATGCTTTTCTGTTGGCCTATGATCACATCTACAGCCTGGCCCACTGATGACGGGGGCTGTGTTTGTACTATATTTGCATGCTTCTAGTCAGTGGGACTCCAGAGCTTTGAGCTGCAGAAAAAACGTTCATTGAAGAAGGCACTTGACAGAGCTGTAACAACTAGACAACATCTACATTTTTCCTTTGGTTCCAGTTTCACATCACTGGGACTCTAATGTGGAATAAAGGATAAATCAAGAAATGGAAATATTATTGTTTCAGTTTATTTCACATTGGTTTATTATTATTATGATTGACAATGATGACATTGTTATTGTTTACAATGTGAAATTACACTGGATATCTCAGATGTCCCAGTTTTCAACTAGCTCTCAGAAGAAACAGACATTTCATCTGCTTCATCTGTCTGAAGCTTGAGATTCTAAAATCACCCTCAAACCTGCACACACACGTGGACACATTACAAATCTGTCAATAAATATACAAGAATGTCACAGATTTGTTTAGACTTCTGTAAACAGGAAGCTTTTCAAGACCAACTAGATCAGATCTGAAGTTCACAATCGTAATATGGAATATTAATGTTTATTCCTATGTGCTTTTGCTTGGTATTTGTATGTAGATTAGAACACACATTTTAGTCCCTAAAATAACACATTTATATAAACATTTGTAAAATATTCTTTGTTGAAATAAATGAGGTCATTTGTAACTGTTCGCATTGATGGTTCCCTCGGTGCTTCTTAGCATGTGGTGCATGGGTACTTTTCTATGTTGGATAGAGGTGGGACTCTCATGGTCAGCATGCACTAATAGGTGGTCCTGAGTATGCAATAAATACATAAATAACAGCAAAATATCGGTTTACATCAAGTCCAAATGTATGCATTTGCAATATGATCAAAACAGTATTACAGACGTTATTAAGACATTATTTAAATGTGGCTTCTCACCACTTTAGTCGGCTGGCCCAAAGCGGGCCGTGAGCCCTGGCCCCACCTTATCAAAAATACATTTTATAAATAGTCAATATTTGTGTTCTTGAAATATGGAATAAACCCACTAATATTTGTAAAATAATATATCTGCGCAAAATATATGCTTTTCCTGCATGTCCTCTATGCCTCTCTGCACACCTGTCTGCATGCCTCAGCTGGGACTAAGCCCAAAGGAGACGGGTCAAAGAATTTAGTCATTTTAGCCAATTAATGATTAAAGATAAATGAGTGACATTTAACTGCTCATAATAATAACTGCAAAATAATAATGGATGTTTGATAGTTTTTTTTTACATTGAATCATACTGGGATGTTTGCTGAAAGTGATTGACTGGCCCCACCAAAAACATATTCCACCAGCCGTTACTGTACTTAACTGTATATAATGGTAATGAATTGTGGGTAATTGTATGTTTAATTGTAACACTTAGTCATAAGAAGCACAGTGCTGGTAATGTTCTATAGTTGTGTGTGTATATCAAAGCCTGAAGAGTTGATCTCCTCTGTACCACAAAGCTGCAATATAACCCATCAGTGAGCTGCACTGTTGCACTTCATCACCATAAACACACACACGTTGCAGCTTAACTTGAGACAATCGCACACACACACCTTCCTGCTGCCGCAAATGCTCACTAGAGCGCCAAATGGGATTAATCCATTGCTGAAAGTAGTCCCCAATAAATGCACTATTTCCTGCTGCTTGAGTCAGTGACCTGTTGTTTTGGGAAGTGACTGCATCTTTTACCCATTTCATTATTTAGACTAACAATGCGGAAGAACGGCGGAAACCTCGAGTCATGCTGAACCGATCACCACGACCAAACCCTTTGTAAAGGGATTTGAAAAATAATTTGTTTTATGTTTGGTGGATTGCATTCATTGCTCATTTGACCATTAGTCCATATAGTGTTTTTTGCCATTTCTTTCTCTAAAAATGATATCCAATCAAAGTGTGTATGTGACCATGTGAACTTCTTAAGAAAGGAAGCACTGCCTTTAGCATCTTTTTCTCTGAGCGCTCACACTGAAAATCTCTGACCTTTTCAGCTCAATTGCAAGACTTAGCATTAGCATTCAGCAGCATGGTGGAAAATAGTGAAGTGGATCACAGGACCAATAACAGCAGTCAGTGATGGTACCCTCCATCAATGTTTGATTACACAACTGGCTATGTAAGAATGTCCATCTAGACCAGGGGTCTTCAACATTTTTTACGGCAAGGTCCCCCAATCTGATGGCGAGATGGAGCAGGGACCCCTATTCTACGGAGAGTTTGGTCCGCCATCTTTTTTTGTTGAGCTCTGCGCTCTTTAGACGTGAGCATAAATGCGATCTGATTGGCTGGTGCCTGTGCTGTCGTATCAGCATGAAAGGTGCCCAGCTTGAGAGCTCCTGTGGGAAGCTGAATGTGTGCATATATCGTACATATATTGATTACAAATTGATTGAAATGGTACATAATCGATTGTATCGATACTTGGAAACTGCACATTGGATTTAAGTACAAAGACTGTATGGATGTGTGTTTGTTTGTTTGTTTTTTAGCACTTTAGACACGTTAAATGTTACTCGATTCAGTCTGCCTGTCTGTGACGTCGTCAGTACGCAGCGGCAGCCGCGCGAAACTCTGAACAACAACAAAACACAGCGTGGAGGAGACGACTGCGAGCGAGACATTTACAAACCAACTTATCGATCCAGTGTGTGGAAACATTTTGGCTTTTGTAAACACGGAGGTGTTCTAAATAAGTCGGTCGCTGTTTGTAGAATATGTAGAAGACAAATACAAAACCACGGAAACACGATGAATCTTTCCGGCCATCTACTAAGGCGCCGTGGGATTAAACAACGCCGACAGTCAGGACCTCTAGCAGCGTCACCGCTGCAGCAGCAGCAGGTAACTCCAGCTCTGCAGACACCTCAGGCCTCGCCAGCACCAAACTCAACATCACAGCAACAATTGCGACCCTACAATGTGGTTGAAAATCCGGGGTTCTGTGAATTGATCCAAACATTGTGTAATTATTGTGTAATGTTTACATTGAAAATGGCACTTGATTCAAATAAAAGGTTAATGCATTTGCCATTAATTGTTGTTTGTTTGTTTATAATATCCATAATTAATTTAAACCTTATTTCCTTACAAGAAACAACAGGGATCTCGGAAACTTTGCCTGCACTGTCCAGTAAAGTTACTGAATAGATTTCAAGTCACTGAATCAAATCGAATCGAATCGTTCTAAATTAACCCAGATTGTCCATGAATCGAATCGGCAACCATGAATCGTGATTCATCGCGAATCCGCGATGTTAATGTGTATTTAAAGACAATAAATACAATTCTGATTCTGAAGATATTTCAATTTATGGAAAAAAAATAATAATTGCCTTATCAACCAAAAGTTTCGCGACGCCCCTGCAGTTGAAGACCTCTGATCTAAACACAAGTTCAAACAATGATTGGACATTGATGCATTTATGCAAGATGAAAATTTTCCGCCTCACTGGGACAGAGTTGTGCTGTAGAGACAGCTAGGGGACAACAATGGGTAGAATCGGCATAGTTTGAGCTTATTCAGTAAATTAAGGATTTATTTCAAACTAATGTTGGAGCAACAGACACAATGACCAACATCTGTTTGAGGTGTATTTGGTTTGTTTTACAATGAATCTACTTGAATTAAGAAGGTGTTCTATTTCTCACGTAAGATCATCATTTTTCCTTCACTGCAATTTGTTTTGTGTATTTATCTGATATTCCGAACACGTGCGATGCGCGACTGAGAGATAAATCATTCCAGCCACTGACGGCACAGCTCGGTCCATCAGTTACTTTAGGAGATGTACTTAGTGTCTGAAAAGGATTCTGATGGAGAAAAGATCACTCGAAAATTCCTCGATTGCTGTTTCTGTGAGACTCAATATTTACTGACTTACTTACTTTACTTGAATAAAGAAACCTTGAGACAAAGTCTGATTTTATGTTCTTGTATCCCTCTGCGCAGATAGTATAAAGTTTGGTCACTGAGCTGCGGCATTAACTTGTATTTTAACAAGATTAAAAAATATTTGTCCTGGAGATTAGCATAGTTAAGTCTCCCTTTTTTGGGCCTTTTGGGGCGGCTGCAGCAGGCTTTGATCAGTGTTGCGCGGCGAGGCCCAGGCTTGGCCTGGCCATCCAAGGCCTTGGTGTGAAATCGGTCTGATGTCATCCCCCATTCTCCTCCTCCACCAGCTTTTAGCTGCCGTAATAATATTTCCGCCACAAAGCCCCCGTCCCCTCCGTTCCATATTCCAAGTTTGACTAGGAAGCATTTAGAGAACTATGGCTAAATTACTCAGTGGGAGGAAGGGGGACTGGATGGCCCGTCCTTTGTCCGACAGAGACACAGGGGACATCAATACTTTGTGATATGTACTTTTCCATTCTTTGGTCGTCTGCCCTTTGCTCTGCCTGTTGGAAGGGTTAGGTTTATAACAAGGAGAGGGATGAACTTTGAGTAAAAAATGTGTTTTTCCCTAAATACTCTGTTAATAGCGGTATAAACAGGATGGATTTAGCATCAGTGCTGCTTCAACAAGCAGAAAAGAAACTGGGGCTTGGTCTTACTGTGACTAAATTCCAGAATGAAAGCGAGCCTGCAGGTGGATTGTTTTGTGAGCTGTAACCCAGGCAGTGTATGACTGACTGTTGTTGCTCCTTTTATCATTTTCCATGCGATGCTTGGAATTTCCTTCTGGAACGTGGAATCAGTGTGTGAGCTGCACTGAATGTCCACTCTTGCTGATGGAGACACGGTTGAAATCCATGTAAAAGCTAGTAAGTGGATCTTGAGTTGGCATTGGTTTTGCCTTCAGAGTTTTAAGAAGTCAGGACATACCTTGACAAATACACACATATAGTTTACAGCAAGAAAAGAGATCAAAAGTAGACTAGATTTGTTATTTGCCTGTAGGCATTTATTCTGAAACTTTGTGAAGCGATAAATAAATAATTTCAACTGTGCACTTAATCTTACTAAAGTAAAGATTTGATTCATTTTATAGTTGAACCCAAAATAAAGATCACATTTTAGAATCCATCCCAGTCTAGTTGTACAAACAGTACTCATGTACATGCCAAAATACTTCTTAGCTTTTTAAAAAACTGTAACCACTATCTATGACTTGCAGCATTGCTAACTATGGGAACGACATTTTTCTAAGAGGTTGAGTGTGAGATTGTGGACACTTGGAAAGTTATAAAACAGTTTTGGGTCATACAAAAATCTTTATATTAAAGAGAATTTAATTGATGAAACATCAGAGCCGTGATGGAAACATGTCAGTGGGTACTGGGACAAGGGATGTCCATTTCTTGGCTGGAGTCTCGTCACCTGCTGCTCTTTGCATGGACACCCAAAGCATTTTGACCTTCATCCAGGTTCTCTGGCCATTAACCCCCCCCCTGCCCTTCCCTCCCACCTTCAGACTGACAGCCCCACGCTGTGCATAGAAACCAGCTCACAGCTTTTCTCCCCCTTTCCTCTCCCAAGTCAAGAGTAGCTCATCACATCAAGTCAGCGGCCGTTGGGCGTTACTTCCACATACAAGCTAGCTAAGAAAGGGAATGCAGATGAGGGCTCCAGCAGCCATTCACAGAGCAGGTCAATGCTGCTGCCAGCGGACCAGTCACAAAACCCTCTGGCTAGGTTGATGGCTCTCCTTCTGCACGCCTTATTCTCTTTATTCATTTTTCTTCACTGTTTCTCCACTGTCAGATGTTCAGGGAAACAACGTGTGGGGAGGACACATCTGTGACGCTTTACCAGCTCATGAGAGCCTGTATCAACTCATTCCAGTCATTATTTTGTGCCTTTTGATTTTCAGATCATTCCGTTCACTTTTATATTGTGTTGTTGAGATTAAACAGAAAAAGACGGCCTGCATTATACATGAATATAATCCACGTCATGCAGCGCTGCAGAGATCAAAGTTCAGATAACCCGGAGCACAGACGGGAGACTTTGATCGCTGTACCAAACTCACTGCTTTACATTAATAAAGCACGATGTGTCTTTGTGTGATGATGTCATTACATCAGAGAGGTGTTGACCCAAGAGCAAAATGGCAGGAAGAGTCCTCTCTTTAAATTAATGTACGCTTGAAAGAAAAGTCCTCAGTCTCTCTCCGTCATCATGCTAATCAAGAGGAAGATATTTCAATACAACCACCCGCTGAGCCGTGTGAATCTTTTGTGTGTGTTTTTCAGGGTCTGTAATAAAATCTTCTCAAAAAACTCATTTTCATTTTTTTCTTTTATTATTGACCATCACACTATTATGATATAAATTATTCACAACATATAGAAGAGAGCCCCAGCAGAGGGGGAAAAACTAACCGTGTTTGTTATCTTCTTTATAAAAATCCTGATGTCAAAATGTCACTGTAGAAAACACAGCTGCTCCTTCTTCATATCACAGTAAGTGTCCCCTTCTTGTATTTAGAAATGTTCAAGGCACAAACTTGTCCCGGATTGGAACTGAATGTGAGAAAAACGAACCTCCTAACACAGCAGAGAAAAAAAACAGAAACATTCAAAGCATCGTAAGACCACGGTCTGGTTTGGTTTGAGTCTACCGACACATGCAGCATTGTACTTATTGCAGGAAAAATAAGTTATGTAAACACTTCTGAGCCCTGTTTCCACATGGCTACAGTTGTACCTTGTATAAATAAAAATATAACAGCTTTTGTTAACAACATCTACACTCGGCCTGTTTTCCTTGAACACCCGAAGAAGCACATGGCCTCCAGAGGTCGGAGAGGAACCGGAGGAGTCGTGGAGACGATCCATCCCAATGGAGGGTCCCGCTAACTCATCTTCTCCAGCCAGCATTCATAGAATAATACACATCAAACGAATGTGATCTCGATAAACCAAATGGAGCCTTGGGTGGGCTCTTGTGTGTCTGCGGGGACATTGCCAGCTCCTTAGTGAGGACGTATTTTGTAATGAAGAAGACATCTTCTACAAGTTAGAGCTTTAATTCCGGATATAAAACGGGTCGGTACATTCCCAAGACGCTAGAAGGCTAAGTGACATTCAAACCACCAGGCCAGCATTCACGATACGCAGACAGAACACAACAGGAAGGAAAGAAGAGCACCAAGTACAAACACACACACACAACACAAAGGCGGCTACAGTTCCCAGAATGCAGCAGAAAAGAATCTTTGGATTTCAGCATATAGTTTTCATGATCAATAAAGTTCCGTAGTGCGCGTGACGGCTGTCCAGTCCGTTTCAGCGTGCCTCGCGTTCGTCACTTCTGCGCTCCTATTGGATGTTAGCTCACTACTCCCGCCTCTCACACCGTCGGACACACCGGCTCCATCTGCGATAACGTCATCTCTACATTGAGAGTTGAGTGTGTCTCCAGGAAACGATGGTCCGCGTCTTCCAGTCAAGTGGGATGGACGCATTCTCCCGCCTCCATCAGTCCGCTTCTTCTGGCCCGCATTGGCCCGGGATATATCCTGGGGGTCCACGTCTCTGGTCTGAGTGTCGCACTAGATCGCAATTGTGGAGAATACAACTCCAACGGACTGAGGCGTCCGGCCTCTCGTGGCCTCGTGTAATATAACATAAGACATAACATTAAAGATCATAATAAAATCACGTGATCCTTATTGTATGAGCGCATCATTTGAGTCCCATCAGTGCTCACACGGCTGCTCATATTTGACCTAAAACGATTAGTACATGTTTTTACCAGGAGCAAATCTGTTTGAAAACACACTCCCCTCGTGAGACACAATTGACCCGTGATGTGTGTCGCGTTGTAACAAAAGAGGTCTCATTTTATCTCATTAAAGGGAGGTGTTTCTTCCATGGAAGAGCAACTTCTGGTTGAACATGAACGCAGCAGAATGTTTGTCTCGGACTAAACGTCGCCATGCGCACAGACCCGAGGACGCGCCGCCTGCACGGACGCGCATAAGGACAAAGCCATCGTCACATTAAGGTCTCTGGTTGCGTTTTAAATATAAACGGTGGTACTGGAGTGATATTATTGCATGGTTCCTAAGCCCTTCTATCCCCGTGCCTCCTCTACTCGCTGTCCGACTTGGCGTCCTTGGAGCCGGCGTGGTTGTACAGGCCCTGCGCCATGAGATGCAGCGCCAGAGAGTTTTTATTCCCGGTGGCTTTCTTGATTTTGGCCCGTTTGTTCTGAAACCAGATTTTGATCTGAGACTCGTTAAGGCCGAGGTCCAGGGCGAGGTTCTGCCTGCGCTGCTCGGTCAGGTACCGGTTGTTTTGGAACTCCGTTTTTAACCGGTGGAGCTGCTCCGCGGTGAAGGCCGTCCGGGGCCGCTTGTCCTCTTTACTCGGGGTCGGGGCCTTCTTTGGCTTTCGGGATCTGGGCCCTTGAAGACGGGTGAGAGAAAAACACGTTAGGATTCTTAAAAATCACCCGGTCATTTTGCTTCATATGAGAAGACTATACAATGTAATCATAATTAGTATTACATTATTTTTTACGGGTATTCAGCAGTCAGGTTAATGGTAATAGGGGTGGGATAACAAATTAATAGTTTTTCATATTGTATGTGGTTTATAATCTTGATATGTTTCATTCATTTTTTTCATTATTAATTTATGTATTAACCATTGATAGTGTGGGGGTGGCGGGGGCGTTGGGTCATGAGGGTTCTCCGGTGCTTCTGCTGCTTTCACATTTTTTTGAGGTTAAGGAATATTTCTACTATGGTTTAACTGAATATAAAAGTAAAGGAATATATATATCAGTTTAAATTATAGTTTTAGATAAGTATTTCCCTCTGTTTAAAATGATCAACTTCTCTTCTCTTGATCAAACTAAACTTCTTGAGGTATTCAATACTTATATAATATTTCACTTACTTTCCAACGAGAAAATGAAGGAGGGCGTCGCGTCAATCTGAAGCTAAATATTCTGATAAACCTCCGACTGTTAACTTTTCGTTCCAGCATTATAAGCACTGAGCTAGAATTATTCATTTGGCTACTTTAGAGCAACAAGCCAGTCGGCTGCAGGCTGGAGGAGGGTGGGTGGGGGTGGGGTTAGGATACCATGGAGGATGGGGAGTTAGGCGCCTCTTTCCCTCCCTGTTACCATAGGAACTCCCTTTTTAAAAGAGTAGTTGGTAGTCCTAAAAAGAGCTTGGTTTCTTTCATAATATCCAGACGGTTATATCTTGATGAATTTAAATGAGAATGAACGGAAAAATAATTAGCAGCTTTGGAACGGAAGTGTAGAAATAGATCATTGGGCCCTCCCATCGTTCAAAGTTAGGGATTATGGCATAAAGGAAATGGCCGCGTTTGGTTTGCCAACAATCCTCACACATTTATAAAACATAATCCGATCATATCATATAAAAGTATGTACTAATTGCTACAAAGTGCTTAGTGTAACAGCAGTTTCTCCGATTTCTTTGAAGGCCCTTTGTTTTCATTTCTATAAACTCGGCCTGGACCTCGATGGAAACTTTTTTAGTTTTCCAGACCAAAATAAAAATGTGGGGACCGTCTCCGCTTCGTTGTGACTTTTCACACATATTCCAACACATTTCCCCGCTTGGCGGATACTTTGTTTGAGGAGGATTATTGAACAGTTGAACGCGTATCAAAATCGCGACAAAGGAAAAGTCCAAGTGCGCCTGTTTTTGTCCAAGTTGCTTTTCAGAACGGAGCGTGTTGACGTGAAGGCTGTGATGGAGCCGCACAGCAGCCAGCTTTACGTCTCCAACACCAACCATACACAACTCATTCGGGTCATCACTTGGACATTTGTCAAAAATCTATTTTGATTTTGTTGGCGAGGAAAATACTTCAAATTCTGTTGGATATTTCACATCGAATGCCGCTTTTTGGGGGGATACAGGGCCCTCACTTTTTAGACCCCGCCATTGTCGAACAAATATGCTAATGGTACATCAACAAAGAAAACTGAGGAACAATGGCGTTAAACTTGGTTTTACTTTACTTCTCCATATGTTTCAATTATGTTCGAATCGTATTTAATTTCCACAACACGCGTTCTATAACAGCGTTTGGTCTTATCCACTTTATCGTATTTTAAAGACAAAATCCAAATCCAATTCCACCCGAAACAACTCCAGTTACTTTCTAATTTGCGTTAAAGTAGTTCGATTTAGTGTCAAATATGGCCATGTCTTTTAGGAATGTTGAATTATTTTTTAAACATTCAAATTATAAACAATGAAATCTATAGTGGTAATTATGGGGCAACAATATGGTCTTATCCACTTTGATATGTATATTTACTAAGATTGGGGGTCGCAGGTTCATACAATAAAATATCACTCTTTATTTTCAGAGAACAAACCTCCCCAGCTTTTAAATTGGAAAATGAAACTGTGAATAAAGACCGGCTGATTTATGTAATTCACCTCTTTTTATTAACGGACTCGATGAATTGAGTGCACTTCCTTTATTTACCCTTATTACTTAGTTAATTAATAAATTATTTATCTATCTATTCCTTTTTTCTTTCGATTAACAAAAAGTGTCCCAACAAACTTGTCCCCACCAACCTGCTGACGGACGGTCTGAGTACCGGGTACAATAAACCCAGGCGGGCCACAGCATCGGCTTGGACGCGGGGGCCGGCCCGGCCTCGGGGCTGCCGCCCCCTCGACCCTTCACGAGCCCATCGCCGGCTATCGGCTCAGGCCTCCTGGCCTCAGTTTCCGGATGCTGTTCTTCGGATGCTCCCGTGTCCTCCTCCTCTCCTCCTGCTGCAGCGGGCTGCGGGTCGCGAGTTTTCGAGGACTTTCTCCCCGTTTGCTCATCTCTTCGTATGATGCCTCCTGGGCGGTCTCCATCCCGGACCAACGTCCCATTCTTCCTCTTTCTGCCAAAGTCCGGTCTCAAAATGTTGTCGATGTAAAAGTTGGTGATCCGATGGGACTGCTGGTTGCCAGGCGGTAGGAGGGGTCGGATGGCCCGGTTGGACTCCTCGCCGGAGTCCTCCGCGCGCTCTGGGTGTCGGTGAGCATTTTCTTCCATTATGACGAGAGCCTGCACACCCCCAGCACCTCTTTCTCTGCACCCTGCTGCTAAGTAGTTATTCCAATGCCGTGTTGTTCCGTGCACCGTCTTACCATTAACAAGGCTGCTATCAAAAACAACCCGATGGTGAGCTACACTAATTCCGTTTGAAGCAGAGTGGCTGATATTTCTTTTCGTGTTGAAACGCGCCTCTTATGATTTTTACAAAGACAAATCATGTTTCAGTTTCTGGTAAATTTCTACTCATCATAGCTGGACCTGGTGTACAATTTTTGTTCTAAAAAAGATGAAATATTTAAAACTCTATAGTTCAGCCTCTTACATTTTTTCTGGGACCTTGCACACAATTTTTGCTGCTCCCGGTAGAACTAACTGCCCTGATGGAGACGCCGCTCAAATACTTTCACTACGGATTTTGGTTCTCATTTATGATTGGCTGCGAGACGCTGGGATGACGTCGTACTACGGCTCTCCCAGACACGTGCCTCCGACCAATAGAGGTGGAAAGGTGGTGTCATGTGAGTTTGCCGGAATTCCCTTGAGTTGCAGAATAATCTACGCAGTGATTTATGGTGCGTTCAAGTTTAAGCGGACATTTTCGGCCGGAGCATTTAAAGGCACGGATAGCTTTATGAACATGGACGAGGTTGCACAGCGCTCAGATAGTCACTAATGGCCCACATACTTATTGTGAGAGCTGGTCTTTCAAGATTTATTGCTCGATTTACCTGAATACTTGCAAAACAGTAAACCGGTATAATGAACAAGGTAGTTTGTGCTACAATGCCTTTCGACAGAAATAAAAAATACATAATTCACAACGTGACTAAATTGTAATTGAATTGGGCAGTAAAATGTTGAATTTAGATTTAGTTTGTAAACTTTACTCTTAATACTGCAATGGCCTGCAGGCACCAGCTGCACCATCTGTCCCAGGGAGCCTAAATGCAGCACACTTTAGTCCTATGGATTAGAATAGTAGAGCACAACACAGAGACAGCACCACCAGTGTCCTCACGCCTTTTCTTTTAAAGACTCACTCATTTTGGAAAAGGTTTAGTGCATTGGACACTTGTTTATATATTTACATAACATCATGGATTGATCCATTTGTATCACAGTGACGTCATTGATGCGGCAACTGAAGGCGGTGGTCCCGCCTCTGATCAGGATGAAGAGCCCTGTGCTCCTGGGATCAGGTGGTGGTTTTTGTAGACATGCACTGGTCAATGTCTCTTGCTGCATAAATTAACCGTGAAGTCCTCATTAAATCAATCATTTTGTTCTCATCTTTTTTTTAGACATGGGAGATGGGCTTTGCTCCAACAATGATTTTTTTGTTTGTTGGGTCAAATTTCAATAGTTCAACACCATCAAACTGACAAAAATAGGATCTGTTTGTGTAGGTCGAAAGAGAGACGGAGAGACAGACAGAAAGCTTTTTCAGTAGGAATTAACCAACCAAGTATCATGTCACTAAAATTCAGATATTTTTGTTCTTTTTTTAACTGTCCATGACTATGGTCCATATTAGTTTAATTTAATTATAATATATATTTTTTTATTTTATTCCATTTTATCTTATTATATTCAAATAAATTGATTGAATTTGAAATGGAATTAATTAATTTGTTTTTTATTTAATTTAATTAAACATTGTGTGCTTACACATGCCTAAAGTTCTTTCAAATGTCCTAAGTCATACAAAGCACGTTTGTTCACATGCGTGAGAATGCCTCGCTCTCTCGCATGTATTATATGATCATGCTGCTTCAAATATATATATTTTTTGCTTTCATATGCAGAAAAAAATATTAAACTCCAAAGTGCAATAATGAGCTGCTGAACCGGCTCTAACCATGACTTCATAACGGCTGTTTGCTCACAAAAGCAGACCGAATTAGGATGTAGATCACTGATAGTGACCTGATTGTCCATGCAGGCTCATAATCACATTTGTTCATAGAAAAGCGGGAGTAAAGCCAAGTGGCCTCTCAGGTGCTGCTGTTCTCGTGAGGATGAGGCCTCTACATCTCAGCTTCGATGAGTGTGTGTTTGTGTGAAGAAAGGAAAAGGGAAGGATGCTCATCTGAATGCCATGCATACTGAGGATCCACCTCTTTACATATGTAGAACCCAATTTCTCAAAAGTTTGACTTTGACGTTTGTTCTCAGGGCGACACACTGTTGCAGAGCCCAATCAGAAGGTGGAGCAGCCTCTCTGTTTGAGCTGAAGGACATGGAGGAAAAGGCTCCACCCGTTGGTATAAGACTCGTTGCAGCTGTACTGTCATTGTTGAACAAGCTCCAAACACTTAATAAAAGTAATAACATGATGGACTGTTTTTATCCTGGCAGCATGAGGCCGCCCTCTCTAACAGGTGTGTGACAGGCTCAACGGATCTCTGAATAGTATCAAAGTAACTCCCCAACCCACTGTTCCTGTGTCAATCCACCCAACGACTAGGGTCGTCGTGGCGCAGGGGTTAGAGAAGTTGTGCTGGGAAGCACAAGGTTGTTGGTTTGATTCCAGGCTGCCCCATGTTCCATGTCGAAGTGTCCCTGAGCAAAACACCAAACCCCTAATTGCTCCCCGGGCAAAAATGTGAAAAGCCATGGGTAATGTAAGTCGCTTTGGATAAAAGCGTCTGCTAAATGACCTGTGATGTGATGTGATCAACTCATATCTACTTCATAAATAATTTTAAAACCCAGTGTACTAAATCTGATGATCCCCTCCCCATTTTATTCCAACATATAGAGCATTGACAATGTCTCCCCTTCATCAAATGTTTGTTTGTTGCACTTTAAAGTCATTTCTTATAATTGACATCTTAGTGATCAAGTGAGACCTCTCGTCATGTACAGTATGGATCCATTAATCAAATAAAACTAATATACATGTAATATAAAGTTAAGAGGAACGTATTGCTCTTTAATGTGACCTGATGTTTCATGTAAGGATTTCATCTTAATATTGACCGGTTATTTAGTTTCCTTGTGTTGTCCTTGTGTTGTAGAACTCATCGCGTCCACATAAATACAGCAATCCATCAGCGGCTTGTTGAGCGGCTGGAATGCTGCTGTGATCTGAAGTGATGTTCACAGTGTTCTCTGCTCCTCACAATCTCTCTAAATAATAAAACCTTCATAACACAAACCTTTTTTGTTATCTCATTAAAACTAAAATATGACTAATGTAACTCCCTTCCAGAAGATGTAAGGAGTGTCATAAAAAGTCAATAACATTCGAAAAAAAGTTGTACCTTTTTTTTAGTATTATAGTGTTCAAGCCCGCAGAGAGAGAGAGAGAGAGGGGGGGGATGGGGGGGGCAGCACCATTCACATGCTTTTACTGTGAACCTTCAGAGAGCAGCAGCAACATTTCCTCCTCATCATCTCCACACCAGAGTACGGAAAGCGCATGGAGCAAAGTATATGTGGATTATTATTAATATTATTATTCCAAGTGTTATACTATGTGTGAAATAAAAGCCCTCAGAGAGCAGATATGTAGATAATATCCATATAACAGCCTGTGTAGAATGAGACAGGCTTTGTGGCGCTCTGAATGCTGCTGTCTCCTACATTGTGTTGGTGCCCAGATGTGAGATGAGCTGGAAGACAAAGCAGAGGTCAGCCGGGACCATCAGCTTCCTGTCCGCTTTACAAAACCTCCCTGAGGGGGAGGAGGGTCCAGGGGAGCTCTGAGGTTAGGGGACACTTCCTATTGCACTCTGTCTGCTCTGTTTACGCCAGGACGGGGGAATTAGTGCACGGACTCTCACTACGTACACAAGGATAAGAACAACTAAGCAAACAGGACAGGAACCAACAGTAGTTTATAATCCATATGTATATTTCCTTTTCTCATATATTTAAGAGGCCGTCTAACTGCAAGGCAATCTGTCTTAGGTAGCTTTTTGGTTGTATTCCTTTCAGGGTTATTTTTTAGAAGCAGGTCACTACAAGAGAAACATTTTTAAACAAATGCCAGTTAACTGAGACATTTTTTACATCAATATGACATAGTTGTTGGCTCCAAATTCAACAGAATCCTTTCGCCAAATGAAACCAAAGACGCCCGTGCTTTGTTAAACTGGTCAGTAGGCCGTCCTGCCTGCTGCAGTTAGAAAGTACGATGGAGGAGCAGCATGACATGTTGACCCCAGGCACAGGTGGAACAATAAGCCCCTCCCCTCAATGGTTCCGCTCTTTCCTCATTCCGTCTTTCAGGCCTAATGTTTATGCAAAGTTGTGTCTTTATGACATTTCAGCATTGTTTTCATGATACACAAATATATCATTTTATCTGTGAATATTATGTATAATAATAATGTAATATTTGTACTTCAGTTAACATTTCATATTTTATTTACCTATGTAATTTGTCTGTCTTTTGTAACAAAAAAAACAAAATGGAATTAAAATATGTAATTTACAAATCAAAAGTGTAAATAAATATGAGCCTCCAGCACCTTTGTATGATGACTTTAGGCGCATTTCCCTCTTGTCCTATATAAGAGCATAAACTCTTCCTACAACCCAATCCTACCTGGACTCCGTCCTTGCCCTCGTCCTCAGCTCCACACGTCTGTGTCTTTCTGTCCTGGACTCTGACAGCATTTTCAAAAGGATGTGAGCAGCCTCGCTGCTCTCAGTTACTGCTCTAATCCTCCTGATCGCCGTGCCGTGGATTAACCCTGGCTGAAAGCAGCCTGCAGGTCAGACTGACGGGCCTCCCGGGCTCCGGGCGGAGCTTGGTGTCCCGGACCCTAGCTCGGTCTTGCATGAGTTCACAGCAGTGCTGGCTGACAAAGGAGGGTTTTGCTCTGTTGCTTTTTTCATTTTAAAGTGCCTCCCTAACCTTCTCCTCTTTAGAAGAAAAGGATGCAGCACCCAGGCCTCCATAGCAGGCGAGTAACAGGGAGCTGTTTGAAGTGGAGGAAACACTGAGGCTCAGCTAATAGATTTCCACATTTGGTACTCTTGTTGGTCCAACACAAAAGTTCAACCAGCACTTGAAAGTGTTAGTAATACATGTTGATGAAGGCTGGATCAGAGTTTTAGTACAAATTCAATTTGCCCCTTTCTAAGTCATTTCATTAAAAATGCCTCATTAACAAAAACATTTGTTTAATAGTCTGTGGCTCATTTTAAATGATTATGAATGCTGTAAATATGGATAAAAGAGAATCATTGCAGCAGCAATACAGATATGACCTTGGGCTGATTTATCACAACCCTCTCCTTTAACTTTCAATTCTCTTCTCTCCTTCTGTCATCCTCATACCAAAGCTATTATCATGGCAGCTCAATATTGTACTTTAAATGCCCTAATTAAAACTGTGTTGCCTTTGTGTCTTTAATCTGATGATGCTGATTGAATGTGGGTGGCAGTAAGTACCACTGTCTGTAGAACCCTGGGGAGGATTTCTATTAGACAATCTCAGGCTCCCCTCTCTTGGAGGTTATTCTGTTTTCTGTTGGAAAGTATTACAATGTTCTATGGCGCAATGCTTTACGCTTTATGTCTATTGTCGTGTTTGGAATTTGGGTCCAAAAATTAATCTTAATTACTTAGATTTTTATGTTTGGTTCTATTTTCTGGACTTCTGATGAACACAGAGGTGTAAATGCTGCTGCCAGCAAATTAAACCACAGAACAGTAGCGTAGTGGGGCAAAGCAGGAGAAGTTGAGACCAAATTTAGGGATAAAAGAGGAGGCAGACAGTAATCATACAACAAAAAGGGTCCTTGTGTTATCCTCTTAATAACGAGGCCAGGGGAAGGGCAAAGAGGTTTCTGCTCTACACCACGGGGGAAACGGTCCTGCAGTCCTGTTTGGAGCAGAGCGGAGGAGAGAGGTGAGTCACGTGTGCTACCTCTTCACTGTTGCCATGGATCTTCTGTGTCTCCTACGTCTGTCTCTGTCTGTCTCCGTCTGTCTCTCCCTCGTGCTGGTCAGCTCAGTGGATATCCTCCTCCCTCTAACTACAGGTGGGACCAATGACACGTGCCTAGTGGCTAATAGTCTCCCTCTATCATCTCCCCCCAACCCTCCTCCCGTGTCTGCTTGGCTCCTCCCCCCGGGTTTGCTTCTTTGCTGTTGGATAAAGAACAAATACTTTTATATTATAGTTTGTCCCGGCTTCAAGTTGCCTCACATTATTGTATTTATTACCTATTTCGATCAGAAATATCGTACTGCATCACACTATGGTTACAACGTGTTTCATCATCTGCCCTTTGGGAGGCGCTACAGAACACTTTACACTAAACAATGACACGAGGACAGTCTCCTCCTGAAGGTGTTAACATCAGTCCCATAGTGTATATCCTATAACACCAACGCATTTACAACCTACAAATGTAAAAGGAGATATTTTAAGTAAAAAAACACACTGTTCTAACCTGAACAGAACAAGCACTGTT